TCTTTATTTCCTGTTTGCTTGTATAGAAGCAGCTTTCTCTCTCGCTTTTACTGCTAGGAGATCATGGCTCAGGTGTTCTAAGCGTGCACGCACGTAGCTAATACGTTTTGTGAAGGTGTAGGCGCTGCGTGCTGCCCTGCTGAAAAACCTTGCGCTTGAATGATTCCTGAACGGGTTTAGTTTGAACTTTCATGTGACTCACTGTTTTACTGAAGCATGGAATTAATTTAATGCACCCAGGGCGTCGCAGTAGTGAGTGGGCCTCTGCAATGCCGGTTAGGGGGTTTAGTGAGAGAGTGGGCCTCTGCAATGCCGGTTAGGGGGTTTGGTCAATCGTTGAACCTGCCAATTGTCTATACTGGCAGAAGCGATGCATTCTCTTTGGTCTCGGTTACTCCATTTTCGTGAGTGCGAGAGGTGGCTGGGAATTGTAAGCGAGAGCCGCAGCAAGATCGCATGCGTTCAATCCAGGATTCACTAAAAATACATGGGGTGTGTAGCGCTGGCATGTGATCTCAAGGTCTCCCGCTCAGAGTAGACTGCTGCTTACAGATTCAGTGATGCCGACGGTGGCCTGGGGCCGTTGTTGGGAAGGAGTCGAAAGTTGCGATTACAATCAGTGCGAGGTATAACTATAGATAAGTTTGTGATTCGATGCCGCCGACTTGCGATGCAACCTGCGCATGCATGTGTAATGTTTCAGCTGTTTGCCGTAGTCGCAGAGCTTTTCTCAGTTGGTTGTGTGTTTCGCTGATGACGAGGTGACAGCGAAGTTCTGATGTGTATCACATGGTATGCTTGTTTGTTTTAATTGTAGGTGCAGAATGAGATTGGTCACGCTGAAAAAGAATTTCATAAAACAGTTTTATAAAAATTGATGGTCATTGTGCACTTGTTGAAAAAACAGTTTAATCTCTCTTAAATACGTTTATTTGCGTTGGTAGATAATGGTCTATCTCGTTAATTTTTCTCACTATGACGTTGAGCAGTACGGCTTTGATCAACGCAGGTGAATAAAATTAACCAAGCCTAGTTTCATTCTGCCTTCAAATTGTGAATTTTACCTCCTGGCAGCGTAATGAATTTTCTTGTTGTTTTTTTCCTCTAATTATTCCTATTGTGTTACGAAAAGGTTGTGTAACTTACTTGAAGAGTTTTTTTTAATGAGTAAGGTTGTTTTAACAATGCTGGAGTGTTTAGCATCTTGTCAAAGTATGCTATAGGGCTCTATGTCCCACCAGGGGTACCTGGCCGAACATACACCTGGTACGTCCGGTATACCGGAACGTACCTGATACTATCTATCTAATATGGTTAGAGTTAGGGAGTACGCCGTAGGCGACTCCCTAGACTCGTTAGTGGGAGTGGCGAGGTATCGGTCGCGGCATATTTAGATAGTACCAGAGTACGTTCCGGCTAGTACCCTGGGGACTGACTTCGCCACAGTACCGCTCTTCCAGCCCTCTTCTCCACGAGGGGAGAGAAGGAACTAAGCGGTACCCTCTTCACTCTCACGGCCGTTTAACGTGGAGGCGTCGTCTGCTCTGCAGATCTTCAGTGATATTCCGTAGAAGATGGCTGTTCCCCCTGACCACCGAACTTAAGGCGGAACTTAAGCCGCATTGCCATGCCATCAACGGCTCCGGCAAGGGCAATTCTGGCCGCGACGATCCACCGGTTGAGTTACGATGCACATGGCGCCATTATCCGGGCACCGAATGAATGAATTGAACAGAAATCTCCTATAAATGACAATTTTTCATCGAAAATCTCCGAGTAGCCACCCATTAAAAATGATCATGGTTCACGTCAGCGAAAAGTGGCGATGCATACCTGGTCCACGGATGGCTATGCCCGCGCCATCACGAATGATGAAATTTAACTACGGTTCCGTCTACGAACACGTGGGGACTTTCGTGAGAATCTCTGTGTTCTAATGATAAAGTATCTAACTGTCAAATGCTGATGTCCGAAACCTGAAAAATCACAGCGTCAGTAAAAATGACTGACAATACTAGTTGGCGCGGCAACGGCGTATTGTCGCATTTCACAGCATTTGTCTGCGGCACGCCTCCGAGGGATTTCGTTGCATCGAGTTCACGCCGTAACCCTGGTAGTTTCAACACTTTCTCACGCAGCGTTCTATATAATTTATTATTTTTCTTAATCTTTTGGGAATTGGACAATATAAGTAGTGAATACGCGGCGGCAACTAAACGCCGACGCAGCTAGCGGCGCGGACATTGCCTGACGCGCAAGGGCGGTGCGACCGCTCTCCGAGGCGTTGCAGCAGTGGCGCCCTCTTGCGGCACGATGGTAAGCGGTCTTGGAACATCGGAGCGGAGAACACGGAGGAGATCGCTCGTCAGTCACCCGGCAGCTGTGTTCACGCAACTCGGGCGAGAGTCGTCGCTGAAACATCTTCCGGAGTTTACCTGTTCTCACGAGACGCTCTATACAGAAGGCTGACGACGGTGAGCTCTGACGATCGATGGTGGTGACGGTGATCGATGATGATG